AAAAAAAATGTAAAAAAATGGAGAAAAATCTTTGAGCCACTCACATACTGAAATAATTTTGAACTGAAAAGAAGAGCCAAAAAATCCTACATTTGGAAAGCGGTTTCCATACAAAAAAGGTCTTAAATTTAACGCGAGCATTCATAGTAGAGAGAAGCTGCATGCATGTGATCAATGCAAGAAGGTTTTTGCTCGAAAAGCAACCCCCCTAAGGAACTATGGGCTTACATTTCTGCCACAATTCTGCGCGAGAAAGATCATATTTTGAGCGCACAAAAGTGCATTTTGCACGCGCGCGATCTGAGTTTGTGGAGAAAATGTTCGTTTCGCAAAGAAAAAAATCTTTCGAGCGCACGGATGGCAGAAATGTAAGCCCATAAGGAACACCCTGAAAATCCACACTGGAGAGAAAATGCACACATGTGATCAGTGCGGGAAGAGTTTTGCACAAAAAGGAAACCTTAAGGGTCACACAAGGCTCCACACTGGAGAGAAACCTTACACGTGTGATCAATGTGGGAAGAGTTACGCCCATTTATGCGCTTTTTAAACACATCTGAATTCTCATTCTGCACTGTAAAAATTACCCTGAATTTAACGGTAAAAGACTGTAAAAATGCTACAATAACAACCTGTTAAATGGTTAACGGTAAGTTCCCCTACTATATACAGTAAAAACTGTATTGGACATTACATGTCATTTTACGGTAGTATACCGTTTTTGGAAGTGAAAAATATTGTATAATTATAGTGAATAACTGTAAACTGACATTCCCAGAATTCCCTGTGTTACATTTCAAATTTGATGTTTTTTTGTTGTTGAAATAACTATGTTTCTTCTTAGTTTTTTTCTTATCAGTTTTGTATATTAGGGCTGTATGTTACATCTAATGTTGTTCAGTTAATGTTTATTGCATTATTTCAGTTTCATGTGTGTTACCATGATGGTGTTTCTATATATGTTAATATTTAAAAGCTGCTTGTGATAAGGCTTTGGTTCATCATGTGATTTTTTCATCATCACATGCTTTTGGTGGTTATCAGTGTATTAAAAAGGTACAAAACAGATTTCAGTACTTCAGTGGGTTGGTATATTAACATTATATCAGTTAATGAAATTACGGCATTTAGCTGTAAATTTAAGTTAAAACTGTAAAACCTAAAACGCTGCTACCATATTTTTTACGGTAAAATTCTGGCAACCACAGCTGCCGGTTTCTTACCGTAAATTTTACGGATTTTATTTTTTTTTACAGTGTGGAGAAAGACCATACAACTGTGATCAGTGTGGTAAAAACTTTTTTGGGTCAGATTACCCGAAGGTCCACCTGAAAATGAATTCATTTGAGAAGCCTTACATGTGTTCTTTTTGTGGAAAGAGTTTTAGTCAGCTGAGTGGTTTAAAATTACACCAGGGAAGACACAGCGGTGTGAAGAATCATATGTGCTTTAATTGTGGGAAGACCTTTTTTTAAAGGGGTCATATGATGCTATTTTAAAGATCATTATTTTGTGTATTTGGTGTAACAGAATATGTTGACATGCTTTAATGTTCAAAAAACACATTGAATTGAAAAGGCACCAGAGAACTCACACTAAAAAAAAACCTTGTGCTCACACTCTGACAAGAGATTCACTCAGTCAGGAGCCATGAGAGGATCCACACTGGAGAGAAACCATACACCTGTGATCAACGTGGGAAGAGTTTTAACCAAAAAATAAGCCTTAAAGACCACATGAATATCCACACTGGAGAGCAGCCATATTCATGTGATCAGTGTAAGAAGAGTTTCAAACATGTAAGCGCTTTTAAATCACATGTATTCTTAATCTAGAGAAAGAAAGTTTTGCTGTGGTCAGTGCGGTAAAAACTTCTTTGGGGCAGATACTCTGAAGAAGCATCTGAAAGTTCATTCAAAGGAGAAGCCTTACATGTGTTCTTCGTGTGGAAAGAGTTTTAGATGGCTGGGTGGTTTTAAAAGACACCAGAAAACACACAGTGGTGTGAAGAATTACATGTGCATTGAGTGTGAGAAGACTTTTACTACAGATGAAAAATTGAAATGTCATCAGAGACTTCACACCTGGAGAAAAACCTTACACGTGTTCACACTGTGACAAGAGATTCAGTGAGTCAAGCCAACTGAAATTACAGGAGAGGGTCCACACTAGAGAGAAGCCACTGCATTCCATGTGGGAAGAATTTTACTCAATTATCTACTCTACGCACTCATATATAAAACAGTTGTTCAAAGTCACAGTAAGTATTTCATCTTGAAGGGTGACACTGCATCCTCTCCAAACATGGTGCAATAATGTGATGAGCGAATGTCTGAGTTTATAGCCTAACTGCAGCAATGTGTGCCAGGGCATATTAGGACCTTTCGCACCGCGGGAACCTTTTCATAGTACCAGAACTAATTGTGGAACTACCCACTTTTTGGCGTTTTCGCACCGCCGGAACTGGGTGCGATTTTAGTACCGGACTGCCTTTTTCGAGAACCAAATTAGCTCCTACTCCGGAGCAGGGTCTAAACAGCACAACTGGTACTAATCGTGACGTAAGTAGACATTGATTGGCCAAACGCGTATGAAAACGCCCTCACCCGCCATGATTTAAAACGCTGTGTAAACATACTGTAAACATTGTGTCAACTTATTTCGCAAGTATGGAGAACAGCGATAGATGGACGGACGCTGAAGTGCAGGCACTTGTAGCACTGTCAGTTGTCGTTGGAGATTCTTAGTCCTCCTTTGCATTCTTTCAATCGCTTTACGTATACGTCGACATTCCATGTCCATTATTGTGAAACCCGTGAGACACAACAAAAACACAGCTCCGATCACAGCGTCCTCCATCCTCCTGTTGTTAACGTTGTTCTTCTTCGTTTCTGTTGTTGAACGCCGCGCATAAATGACGTCGCTGTCGACCGGCTTACGTCACTTCCTAGTACACACTCTCGGTGCGAATGCAACCCTTTAAATGGTACTGGGAAATAGTTCGCACAAAATCGTCCCAGTACTTTAGTACTGTACATTTAGTTCTGGAACTAAAGCGGTGCGAAAGGCCCTAATGTTGCTTGCTTAGTTTTATATTGCTATGCTGAGTACATGAAGAACATCATCAAAGTGAGGCTATACAAAGTAAGGCTGTTTGACTCTGTAAAGCTGCTTTGACAACCAGTTTTGTATAAAGCGCTATACAAATAAAGGTGACTTGACTTCACATCCCTTACAGAAAAACCACATGAATGTCTAATGTTTTCCACATAATCACATGTGGACAACATGACGCCACCTGTTTCACTTGATCACATGGATTTTACATGGGAACTGTTCCAAAACTTTCTGATCATGTGAAATTCATGCCATTTTGTAAGGGATATAGTACAATAAAAAAATTGACAGCTGATAGAACATAAAAAAAAAAAAAAATTAATTGATTATTTTAGAGCTTTTCTAATTTTGACATGAATTTGAAAAGGAAAAGGCATTTAGGAAGCAATGCTGATGTGTATAGCAGTTGTCTACCTTCTGTTATTACATCATGATTAATTTTTATGCCCTTTCCCTTCACATATCTTACTGATTTTTATGATTTACTGGAAATTAAATAATTGTATTTTATTATTATTTATTTTAAATTATATTTGATTTTAATTGTAGACCTGATGAAAAAGAATAAGGAGAGTGAAGAAGTTGAGTCGGAGGAGAAACTTCATGTCAGAATAGGAGAAAAATCTAAGTTGATCATAGACTGAAAGTTTTTTATTTTTTTACTACAAAGACTCAAAACAGTTTCCCATACAAAGAACCTAAACTTAACATTCCATGTGATCAGTGTGGGAAGAGTTTCACACGAAAAGGAAACTAGAAGATACACGGAAATCTACACTGGAGAGAAGCTGCACACGTGATCAAGGGGTCAAGTTTAAAAGCAGCAAATCTTTGGTCAGTAATAATAATTATTTATATATATATATATACACACACACACAGAATTATTATCATCAGTGGTTATTCTCATCTGATTATCATTACAATGATTTTACAATTAAATTAAATAATTAAAAAAAAATTATATAAAAAAAATGTCAAACACTTTTCTATAATGAGAACAATTTCTTTATATATTACGATAAAGAAAAAAATGCATTAAGGTCAATAAAAATGCTGATTCATTTAGTGAAACGGTTCTGTTGGGGCTGTTTAAACCTTTCTCGTTGGCAAAATAGAGCAAAAACAGACATTACTGACAATTTTGTGTCTAAAATGTCACAATATTAACTTCCTGTTTATTAAACTGTTGTATAAAATCAATGTTACATTTGCAATCGTGTTGATATTTATATATATATAAATCGTAAAAAAGCACCAAATTGGTTAAGCTGTTGTTTCCATATTTCTTGTTCATAGCCATGAGATTTCACACTGTTGTTACAGTTATTATTGCTGTCAGTCATCACAATTTTGCTAGTGTTTACTATATGATCTACTTTATGACCTGTTGAAAGAAAGTTCAATAAAAAAGCTGAACAAGTTATGTTTCATAATATGTTGCAATGCATCTGTTCTTTGATAGCTGGTTATTTGCAGAATTAGCATAGTCATTAGTTCATGTAGTTTATATAGGCTAGTATAAAACCACAATAAAAAAAAACTGATACAAGGAATAATTAAATAGTTTAATATTTATCACTACGTGAACGTGACTGAAATTAAATATGAAATGTTACACTGTAATTTGTTGAGCAATAAAAGGTCTCTTCAATATAAGCCAGGATAAAAACAACATCCACGGCGATAGGTGGCGGTAATGCACTGATATAGCCTACGATCCGCCGTAAAACAAGAAGAAGACGCCGGCAGTAGTTCTGTTGGGTCTAGTGATGGGAAGTTCGGTTCTTTTCCGCGAACCGGTTCTTTCGGACAGTTCGATTCAATAAACCGGTTGAAAAAAAGAACCGGTTAAATCGAACGATTCGTTCGCGAACCGGACATCACTATTGGGTCTCCTGAGGTAAGACAATAAAATAGTAAGGTCTTGGTGCTTCATATATTTATACAAGTATAAAACACAGTTTAAAGCAACATTTTATGCAGTCATTCTGTATTGTTTTGAACGGGTACAGCGCTATGTGTGCGTCTTTCAGGAGTCTGCTGACTGAAATAAACGTTTAGCCTAGCAGACAACGATGTGAGGAGACCTGTGATTTTGTATGTTCGTGTTTATGATTATTTCGATTATTTGGAGCAATAATGGTATTGTTACTGAATACCACTTGATTAAATGTCAAAGCATGATCTGAGAGGGGAATTAATGGGAGTCGACCTTGATTTGTTCAATGAAAGCATTGATTTGATAACTGATTTATTTTTTATTTTGGCAGTTTTGTAGCTCTTATCACACAGCAATTCACCTACAGTTAAGCGTCTTCACAGCAGTTCACCAATAAATGCTGGAATGTTCCCATTAGTCTAAAAGTGAAGAAGATAAAATTTGTGAAAGAAAATAAACATGAATGATCCAGAGCCCTGCGGAATAAAACAGGAAGATATTGAACAACAAATAGGTTGGTGTTTGTTCTTAATTCTATAATAAGGTTATAATACGTAAAGCTGCAAAACTTTTTTGTTTAAAAAGGATCCAAAATATATTTTTGAGCAAGTACATAACCAATCAGTGTTCAAAACTATCTCCTTTTGCCCGATTCACAACAGTAAGCTTGTAGTAATGTTTTATCATTTAAGTGGTTTGGGTCATTTGCTTTGCGTCATTACGTCACGTCTGAATACGTGGGATTACTGTACTTGCAAAAGATTTGCATTTCAAAGAGAACAAGCTCTAAGAAATATTAAATTGCTTTTTGAGGTTAAAAGAACAATTTCTTTCCATGACATTCAGAGATTAGACTGTACAGAAATTTAAATCTACAGATAACGCTAATACACACTAAATACACTCACGCAACGTTGATGTTGGTAACATTAACAATTTGAGAACAAAGTATAACAATAATTTGCACGGTTTGACGTGATCTGAGCTAACTTTGCGATCGTTTTTTAATCACCATTGGTAGTGCGATTTATTGTAAAACTTTTTTTTTAAGGGTCAGAACAAAACTAGCAGACATGTTACTTGTTCAAATGACATTTTCTGGTGAAACATCTTATTTTGGGCGTAGAGTGAATATCCACACTGGTGCCTTGACTTACAGCCATACCTACACCTCAGAACATTAGATTCAACCGCGCTGTTACAAAAGTTAGGTAATGCTGACGTTGGAAATAATGATTGCTAGATATCTTGTACAGGGCTCAACGCTAAGGACTTTTTCTACTTGCCTGGTCGGGCCAGTGGTTCAAATTATTACTTGACCTGCCAACATTTTCACTGGCCCTGCCACAAAAAAATTAAATAGTTGCCTTTGTCATTGTTTTTGATCTACATTATCTTGTATTCTAATAAATAAGCTTATATGACACCAATATTTTAGACTCTATAATTTCAAAATTTGAAGCAAAAACAGAATGGTCTGACTTGTGAAATTATGCTACATAAAACACCTGCATATTACCGAAACAGCAGGTGGGCTGAATGAGACGCAATTTCACACTCTGCCAGCCGGAGGCGCTTATGGAACAGCAGCGTTTACTTGGTTACTTACTGCTGTACACAGCAGCGCTGTGCGTATTAGCACTACTTTAAATGCATTATACCAAGCCAAGATGAAAAGAAAACGCCATGTAAAATTTTCTGAAAACAGTCAGTTCCCCTCATAAACACATCCATATAAAATTCAATATTTAGTATTTTCTTCCTATATTTTGCGCATCGTGAACAGAGCTGCTCTGCCTGCTACAGTATTTTTTTCCTCTTTGCATCCTTGCAGTCCTTATTGTCGAGCCCTGTTGTATCTATTACAATTTATGTCTCAGAGTTGTTGCCATCTCTGAAAAGCTTTCTTCTTTTTGTTTGGACATGCGTCATCATGCAAAGTTGAATGTGATGAAGCTGATATTTCCCATGAAATCCAACCCGACCATTCAAATTATAAAACATTATTATAAGCTTACCATTTTACTCTTTTGAACACTGTCTTTTTCTAATATAATAGGTCAATGATTCATTGATTGTTTTTTGTTCGTTTTAGACAAAAAACTTTTATGTACTGCAGCTTTAAAGCAAATAATATCCAGGTAACTTTCCATGAATTGTGCCCATAATGGAGCCTAGAACTCAGTTTTCTTACCAAATATGATCTGAACTGTTTTATTTTATATTTATTTATATCTGTTTCACAATATTTGCAACCATATTACTAACATTTTGGACATTTTACATCCCTGACTTGTAAAATATAGTTAATGAAATATATAGTTAGTAGTTCTCAGAAAGTTCATACAAAGGAGAATCCTTATGTACTGTATGTTCTTTGTGTGGAAAGAGTTTTAGACAGATGGGTACTTTGAAAATATATCAAAATAGACACTGCAGTGTGAAGGACAATGTTTGATCTGAGGGTGGGAAGACTTTTTTTTTTTTTTACAGATGATGCACTGAAATGCACTAGACAGTTCACACTACAGAAACACCCTATAAGTGTTCACACTGTGATAAGAGCTTCAAACGGTCACAATATCTGAGAATACATGAGAGGATTCACACTGGAGAGAAGCCGTACCACTGCCATTCATGTGGGAAGAGTTCCACTCATTTTAATTATCTAATCGGTCATAAAACAAAATGCATGTCTGAAATTACAACAAGTAGTTCAAGTTCTGATCCTGTACTTTGAGGTGCGATGCTGTGTAGGGCTGCAGCAAACAATTTTACATCCCTGACTTATAAAATATAGTTAATGAAATATATAGTTAGTAGTTCTCATTATAAAAACGTTCAATTTGTGCCTGCAATGTTTAAATATAATAATGATGATAAAATAATAAAATGATAATTGGATGATAAATTTACCCAACTCAAATAAATGCATCAGAATATTCATATTTCTACTATGTCAGGATTCACGTCCTTTTCCTTTCACATTTTTCTCTTTGATTTTTTCAAATTTATTTATAATTTTTTTTTAGTGATTTACTGAAAATCAAACTTTTTAAACTTTTATTTTAGACCTGATAGAAGAGAACAAGGAGACTGAAGAACTGATTGAAGAGGGGGAGAAACATCATGTCAAAACTGAAGAAACATCCTGGAGTCCCTCATTGAATAATATATGTTTCACTTGCCCTCAGTGTGGAAAGTGTTTCTCATTCAAGCAAAATCTTGACCTTCACATAAAATCTCATCGTGAAGGGAAGCCATATGCGTGTGATCAGTGTGAGATGATTTTCACAATTAAAGGAAACCTTATTGAACACATGAAAATTCACACAGCAGAGAAACCACACATATGTGATCAGTGTGGGAAGAGTTTCCCACAAAAACGAAACCTTGATGAACATAAGAAAATCCACACTCTGGAAAGGCCATACTCATGTGATCAATGTGGGGCGAGTTTCCCATTTAAGGGAAACCTTGACACGCATAAGAGGATCCACACTGGAGAGAAGCCGCACAAATGTGATCAATGTGGGAAGAGTTTTGCACAAAAAGGAAACCTTAACAAACACATGAACATCCACACTGCAGAAAAGCCGCACAAATGTGATCAATGTGGAAAGAGCTTTGCACAAAAAGGAAACCTTAATGAACACTTGAAAATCCACACTGGAGTGAAGCTGTACACATATGATCAGTGTTTGAAGAGTTTCACACAACAACTACCTTTTAACGATCACATGAAAATCCACACTGCAGAGAAGCCACACAAATGTGATCAATGTGGGAAGAGTTTTTCACAAAAAGGAAACCTTAATGAACACATGAAAATCCACACTGAGGAGAGGCCTTTCGCATGTGATCAGTGTGGGAAGAGATTCATACATAAAGGAAACCTTAATGAACACATGAAAATCCACAATGGCGAGAAGCCATATTCATGTGATCAATGTGGGAAGAGTTTTGCACGAAAAGGAGCCTTTAATGATCACATGAAAATCCACACTGGAGAGAATCTGCACACATGTGCTCAGTGTGGGAAGAGTTACGCACGAAAAGGAGCCCTTAATGATCACATGAAAATCCACACTGGAGAGAATCTGCACACATGTGATCAGTGTGGGAAGAGTTTCAGAAAATCAGGTGTTTTTAAAGTACATCTGCTTACTCATTCTAGAGAAAGACTATATAACTGTGACCAATGTGGTAAAACATTTTTTAGGGCAGATTTTCTGAAGGACCACCTGAAGGTTCATACAAAGGAGAAGCCTTACGTATGTTCTTTGTGTGGAAGGAGTTTTAGACAGATGGGTGCATTAAAAACACATCAGAAAAGACACAGCGGTGTGAAGGATCATGCTTGCTCTGAGTGTGGGAAGACTTTTTTTACAGATGGTGCACTGAAAGTGCATCAGTCAGTTCACACTACAGAAACTCCTTACAAGTGTTCACACTGTGACAAGAGCTTCAAACGGTCAGAATATCTTAGAATACATGAGAGGGTCCACACTGGAGAGAAGCCTTATCACTGCCATTCATGTGGGAAGACTTTCACTCATTTTTCTTCTCTAATCTGTCATAAAAAAAAATGCATGTCTGAAATTACAAGTAGTTCGAGTTCTGATCTGTAAAACTGCATCAAACAATTGTTGATAATTGATTAATCAAAGGTTGTTAGACCAATTAATCAACTGATTGTTGATTATTTCACAGATGAATAATTATTTATTAATCATTTTATTATTATTCATTTGTCATTCTTCATGCTTTTATATTTTAATTACGTATTCTTTTACTTATTTCCTTGCTCTTGCAATGCTTGCTATTGTTGTTTAATCTTATGACTGTATGCTGTGTAAGAGATTAGAGAATGTAAGAATTCAAGGTTTTTAATGTCGCAGGAAAATGTTGTGAAGCAGTGCTTTTCCATTGTTTTTGCTTTGGTATAATAACACTTGTTGGATTTGTACTGGCCAGACTAAGTCTGAGCTTTTAGACATAGGCATTCAGATGAAGTATGAGCATTGAAACATACGCAACTAAGATTATTAAATAAACCGTGGTCTTTGTATTATCATCACTTCATCTTCTGCTTCTGCTCTTACCTGTCTTTCTCAGTCAAACTTTTGAGGCTGATAGAAGACTGTTAACAGAGTTTTGGGTACCAGGCAAGACTTTCTGTTGACAGGTTTTACTGGTTTTGGACACCAGACAAAACAATATCGGATATCTTCTGACAGGGATTCGGGATTGAATCTAATATATGTGATACAGTGTTTCCCCAGCCATTATATTAGGGGTGCACCCACAAAAGCCTCCCCCCCCCCCCCCCCCATTTGTTTCTGAAAAAATATTACATAGCAAAGACTGTTCTTAACATTGATAATAAAAAAGTAATGCATCTGCAGCCAATCAGCATATTAGAATGATTTCTGAAGGATCATATGACACTGGAGTAATGATGCTGAAAATTTAAATTCAAAACAGTTATTTTAAATTGTAATCATATTTCAAAATATTACTGTTCTTAATTTTTGATATATACAGTAGTCAACATTTGAAGTGGATCAAAAAAAAAAAAATTTCTATTTATATCTCCCCGTGTCTCTGTGTTTCCCCTGACATTAGGGGGCCGTCCCACTTAAAGGTCAAGTTAATTTTATTTAATTTTATTTTCTCTATAGCGCCAGATCACAACAGAAGTCATTTAAAGTTACCTTTCCTATAGAACAGGTCTATACCTTGTTCTTTTATTAAACTAAATAGCCTTTTAGAAATGGAGAATATCCGCTGGACCTAAACCATGTATGCTGTTCTGTGTCAGCTGCGTCACGCCGGATCTGTTTCCTACGTTGTTGTGATTTGATCTGAACAGAAACAGCGTAACCGTGTGACGCAGCTGACACAGAACAGCATACATTGTTTACATCCAGCGGATACTCTCCAAAATGGCACCAGGGTGATGCAGAGGAGATGACTTGTTGAAAAAAGTCGTTTTTTTTTCTTTTTTCTTTTGCACACAAAAAGTATTCTCGTAGCTTCGTATAATTGCGGATGAACCCCTGATGTCACATGGATTATTTTACAGATCTCCTTGCTATGTTTCTGGATTTGGGAACATTTCAGTTGCGTTGCTGTCTATGCAGGGTCTGACAGCTCGCAGATTTCATCAAAAATATCTTAATTTGAGTTCCGAGGATGAACGAAGGTCGTACGGGTTTGAAACGACATGAGGGTGAGTAATTAATGACAGAATTTTCATTTTTGGGTTAACTAACCCTTTAATCTATTCAAACCAAACTACTTTTTTGCACTCATTACTACACTACTTTACACTATATTTAGTTCCAAATGGAGCACACGCACTGTTTCCGCAATGTTTCCACTTTAATGTTCCAACGTAGGCTACATGTTGCATTCCCATGAAAGGACAATTCTGTCTTCCAGTGTTAATTTCGTTGACAAATAATTTTCGTCGACATTTTTTTCACGACGAAAACGAGACGATGACGAACTAAAACTCGTTTTGAATGACAGAAACTATGACGAAAATCTATTGACATTTTCGTCTATGAATAAAAATGAGACGAAAATGTTAGGGAGGGACCTAGTTAGATGCATATATACATATGAACCGGCGGGACGGACATAAGCTAACATACACTTGCTGCACGTCTCATAAAACGTACAAAAATGTCGATATCTGGGAGTAAGAGTCAAACCAAACTACTTTTTTGCACTCATTACTACACTACTTTACACTACTTTATTTAGTTCCAAATGGAGCACACTCACTGTTTCCGCAATGTTTCCACTTTAATGTTCCAACGTAGGCTACATGTTGCATTCCCATGAAAGGACAATTCTGTCTTCCAGTGTTAATTTCGTTGACAAATAATTTTCGTCAACATTTTTTTCACGACGAAAACGAGACGATGACGAACTAAAACTCGTTTTGAATGACAGAAACTATGACGAAAATCTATTGACATTTTCGTCTATGAATAAAAATGAGACGAAAATGTTAGGGAGGGACCTAGTTAGATGCATATATACATATGAACCGGCGGGACGGACATAAGCTAACATACACTTGCTGCACGTCTCATAAAACGTACAAAAATGTCGATATCTGGGAGTAAGAGAAGACATAAGGATAAATCTGACGACTCAAAAGAGAACTCAATTCGGTCCGGTTTTCTGAGCGCACACACCGAAGCAGCGCCTCACACAGCACACGAGAACTCTTTCGCGTCTCATGAACGGAGAAATACACACAAAATGATGTTGAATTGTCTGTTTTGACGAGTATTCACGTAAACACACTCGGTGTTATGTGAACATAAACAGTTGGGAGAATATTAGGACGTGTATCAGTACTTTGTATCCGTGCATCCGGTTTTAAAGGGACAGCAGTCTAATTTAATTGCTATTGTCTGTGGCATTGATGTTAATCAAGCAACAAAAGAAAGACAGAAAATCACTCACTGCTTTTGACTGAATCACTTTAGTAGCCCTAAAGACTAATCTAAATTTACTTATATAAATAAATATGTCTGCTTGAAAGAATGAAGAATGTGGTAAACAAGTTGTTATAAAGAATGCATAATTAGCCTATTTGTATTTAATTGAAAAGAAGACCATGTTCTTGTTCTTTATGAGAAGTGGTTTTATTTCATTTTAATATAAACATGTTGTGTGTCATCGCAGTTAAATCGGTGTCTATCATGATAAAACCTTAATATCAAACCTAGTGAATTTGGAAACCCATTACATTTTAGCCGACTAAATTTACTGTAGATTTAGTCGACTAAAATCTTATGATATTTAGTCGACTAAAACCAGATTAAAACTAAAAAAAAATTCAGATGACTAAAATATGACTAAAACTAAATGCCATTTTAGTCAAAATACTGACTAAAACTAAATCAAAATGTGCTGTCCTCCCATTTGCCCTCCCTAACATTTTCGTCTCATTTTTATTCGTTTACGAAAATGTCAATAGATTTTCGTAATATTTTCTGTCATTCAAAACGATTTTAGTTCGTCCTCGTCTCGTTTTAGTCGGTGAAAAAATGTCGTTGACGAATATTAACACTGCAAGTTTCTCATTATTTATCTTTGTATTATAATGCATTATAATGATTTCTTAAATCGTAAAAGGATCGAATATTGCTCAAATGATGAAATGATTTCAATATGAGTAGTTCATTTTGCTTATTGAGATTCAAAGATAAAGTCAGATCCAATCTTCCAATCACTACTGGGTAGCTATGTGACGTAACAATAACACAACTTATTATAACATCATATTTTATATGTATAACCAGCAAATACACACTACGCCATGGGCAATTTTGTGTTTTTTCAAGTTTGTGTGTGATATATGTCGGACTATTGTTACTGCATGTCACATGATATAGTGCTGTTGCGATTATATTTTCTACATTTATTTCCATTATGACATTTACCTTTGCAAATCAAATTTGTTTTAGTTACTTTACCTCGTTAAAATGAAAATATGCAGGCTACTGGAAGGGTTAAAGCTAAAATACTTTATACTGACCCTGTGATGAAACACGTGGGACTTTAATTCCATCACAAGAGATATAAATGTGAATGAAGTTTGAAACAAGAAACATTAAATTAACAGTTTTATGACCACAAACATTTAATGATCATTGCCAGAGCACATACAAAATAATAAGTTAATTATCTAATTCATGCAGTTATTAAATCGAATTATATTTAGATTGATATATACATATGCTGTAGCTGTAGCAGTTAATGAAATGGTCTCCAACACGGAAAGGAAGCAGAAAAATACTGTAAAGATGGGAGTTGCTTGTATTTGTTTTGATGTATTATTGTTTTTTTTTCCCACATTAAGAGAAATAATATTGGTGCAGTTCTTTACTCATTGCTAGTCAGTTTCTAGCCCAAACACTTAACATATAATAAAGACATACACATAATAAACACAAAATAAAGTGAGATCTGTGCTGATGATCCTGTAAGGCTTGTTTCAAGAGTGTCTTTACTAACAGAGCTGCTGAAATGCCTTTATATTGCATTTCAGTAGATCAATATTTTCACCTCATTCATTATTCTGATGTCTTCAGATCACCTGTAAACTGCCACTTCAAGCTCATTTAATTAGTGTAAACAGACTGAAACAAACTACTCCATCACCATCATCACCATATCTACATGATCTATCTTTAACAGTATGTATTTAATTATAGTGTGATAAACAATGTTTCATGTTAAAATGACAAAAATCTAAACACCAGTGATCAAAAACACAGCTATATGATGTTGAACTCAATTGGAGTGATATATATTGCTTACAAATTATTACATTTATTTCTGAATTATACTTTTTATTAATACTTTCATACTTTTTAAAATTGTATTTATTAGTATGTTTGTATATCTCTTTGTCTATTTGTTCATACAGCAAATAAAGGAAATGTAAAAAATGGATTAAAATGTTTATATTTGACTCACAAACAAAATAGAAATACATAGAATGTGAATTTGTTTACATCTTAGATGGATAAACAAACACAAATGCTTAAATTGTGTAAATTAATGAAAACATCAATTCAGTAACTGATTTATTTTTGATCTTGTCAGATCTTCTCCTAACACACAGCAATTCACCTGGAGTGAAGCTCCTCCCACAGCGATTCACCTGGAGTGAAGCTCCTCCCACATCAATTCACCTGGAGTGAAGCTCCTCTCATAGCAGATCACCAATAAATGCTCGAATATTTCCATCAGCCTACAAGTGAAGAAAATGGAGTTCATGAAAAAACATTAAGAACATAAGTGATCCAGAAGCCTGCAGAATGGAGCAAGAAGATGCCGAAGAACAAAGAGGTTGGTATTTATACCCGATTCTTCATTAAAGACAACTTTGGGAACGTAACATTTTAATCAGATTTAGTCGTTATAAAAGTAATGTGAGCTGTGAAATAGTTGAAGTAGCAAATATTATATGGAACCCAGTCATGAACTGGGAACAAACTGGAGCCTGAAACTAAAATCTTTTATTATTTGTTTTCAAAAAATGGTCAGTCAAATGAGATTTGAGAAAAATGCATACTGATATTTATTACCAGAGCTGTTTTATTTACATTAATTTTATACTGGTTCAGAATTTTTTGCAACTGTGTTACTAAACTTTTGAACATGTCTAAATACATTTAACTATTTTCTAGCAATACAGAAAATGTATTAAATAAACTTGGGTTGTAAACAGGATTGCAAATTTAGCATAAATTAGGCAAAATCTAATTTACTGAAATAAGTTACATTTCTCTTGAATTATGGAAGTTAATCTTAATTATTTAGAAGTTATTTTCTTACAATAACTTTGGTAACAGCATTGATGAATGCAGCCAACACTACAATTTGTATAAAAATCTAATAGTTCTCACAACAAACACATGTGACTTTGTGCTTATAACGTTTAAAAGTGATATTTGGAAGATCATCAATGGAAAATTCCAGGGAAATATAATTGATTTATTGAGAAAAAAATAATAATAATCACGATGATTTAAAAAATAGATTCCAGTGAGATTTAAAAAAAAACAAAAAACATGAAGCAATAGTGTATAAAAGGCTCCTATAGAGAAAGGTAGACTTTTATTGAAGGACTTCTATTTTGATACTTTGAAGAGTGCAGTTTCCGGTGCATCCAGTAGGAGGCATTGTTATAGTTTGCTGCCTGCTGTTTCTTCCTACAGTTCCTGGAAATTTGGATGCTCGTTGGTGTTTTGGTGTTCAGAGTGGTAGTACATGACCATAAAGTAAGTTTTCTTATATTTCTATATGTTTTCAACCATGTTTGAAGTGTATTGTTTAACTTTGTACGTTTGTAATGGCATGCACGGACGTGTAAAGATAAGCAAGATGTGCGATGCAATTAATGATAAATACAGAGTTTTATGTTACGGCTTACCTTGTTATAGGTCTGCCATCTGTTAACTTTTAATACTGCAGAAAGATTATCCAGTATTATTGCCCCTTTGATGATGCTATTTGGGAAATTGCATTGTTTGTTAATGTACAGTCACTTCAAGTGATCAGACTAATGGTTATATTGTCTAAAATTGCACATCCTCTGCATATTTAGAGCTTTAACTGTTATTTAAAGATGATACTGGACTGATTATTTTGTGAATATGTACCTATTTATTCTTATAGTAATGTTATGTTGGTTATTTTTAGACTAATATTACATACACTTTGGAAAGAAGCTCCAGTCTCCTCATTCTTTGTGTCCTGACTGACACCTCAGGAGTGTATATACTGCTTATAGTTAGAGCCAGAGCCTTGCAGTCTCAAATAGGCTTCAATACACATCTGATTTTCTCCCGATTTTCATTTTAGACATAAATCACCTGTGCTGTACTTGCATAGATACTTGCCAATACTAACTAATGGAACGCATGCACAGAAAGCGCCTAGGAAAAAGAGCGAGTTCTCGGCTTAAAACGCTTTTAATAACTCTTTATAACTTTAATATCAAGCAAATCCCGCAGTTAGGGGTGTGCGATATATATCGCCTGCGATAATATCGTAATTGTTGTTTTAACGATGTGCGATTTGACATTATCGAGTATTTTGCAAAAACCATTCAAAACACCCCAAATATCGAGATATAATTTTTTGTCAATATCGCACACCCCTACCCGCACGCAGTAGTTAATTTTACAACAATCATTTTACGTTAACTGATTTGGCTGTTTTGGAGGTTAAGTTTGGGCTTTTAGGGAGGGACGAAAGTGCACGGCTTTAAAGGAGAGGAAAGGAACGTGTGCAGGATTAATAACAAAAGTCAAAATGAGAAACGGAACACAGCACAATAATATTTTTTCCCCTTGATTATCATTTTTTCATAATCGTAAAAGTCAAAAATAAAAATTGGAAATCAATTTCGATTAATTGCACAGCCCTAAATTCAAAATTAATCATTATATCGTATTGCAGTTGTCTGCTGCTACATTTATGCTCACTTTTATATCCTTCCATTGAAATTTCTCTCTTTGATACTTCTTTTACTGCAAATTACTCCCCTGTGCCCAAGCATACTGTACAACAAGTCGTTTGGAAAATTGAAGGATGGAATTTATTTGTTCAAAATATACAAAATGTATATAATGAGCGAGTACATCATGAATCCATTTTCCAAACCGTATTTTTGTATTATCCCGAATCAGCTCGGTATGCTTACAATAAGTGTTTATATTCAGAATATTCTAGACCGAGTGGAACAACGACAACCGCTGTGGAGTAGCCCAGTATTTTTGCGACCCCTCATATACATAAACAGAGAGAAGTAGCTCTGGCTACAATGTTCATCTGCAAGATGCATGCAGTTTTGTTTATTAACCTCTAGAGTGACAAAAGTTACATATCTTTTTACTTTAATTTCAGACCTGACGGAAGAGAATTAGGAGAGTGAAGACATGAGTGAATCGGAGGAGAAACATCAAGTCAACACTGGAGAAAAATCTTCACCTTCCTCACATACTGAAAGTAATTTTTTGCTGACAAGAAGTGCCCAAAAATCTTTCACCTGCCCTCAGTGTGAAAAACGTTTCCTATACAAACAAGGTCTTAAACTTCATATAAGAGTTCACACTGGAGAGAAACCATACACATGTGATCAGTGTGGGAAGAGTTTCACACGAAAAGGAAACCTTAACGATCACATGAAAATCCACACTGGAGAGAAGCCGTACACATGTGATCTATGTGGGAAGAGTTTTTCGCTAAAACAAAACCTTAATGTACACATGAAAATTCACACTGGAGAGAAGCCACACATATGTGTTCAGTGCGGGAAGAGCTTTGCAGGAAAATATTTACTAAATGAACATATGAAAATCCACACTGGCGAGAAGCCATATGCATGTGATCAGTGTGGGAAGAATTTCAAACATAAAACAAACTTTAACGAACACATGAAAATCCACACTGGAGAGAATCTGCACACATGTGCTCAGTGTGGGAAGAGTTACGCACGAAAAGGAGCCCTTAATGATCACATGAAAATCCACACTGGAGAGAATCTGCACACATGTGATCAGTGTGGGAAGAGTTTCAGAAAATCAGGTGTTTTTAAAGTACATCTGCTTACTCATTCTAGAGAAAGACTATATAACTGTGACCAATGTGGTAAAACATTTTTTAGGGCAGATTTTCTGAAGGACCACCTGAAGGTTCATACAAAGGAGAAGCCTTACGTATGTTCTTTGTGTGGAAGGAGTTTTAGACAGATGGGTGCATTAAAAACACATCAGAAAAGACACAGCGGTGTGAAGGATCATGCTTGCTCTGAGTGTGGGAAAACTTTTTTTACAGATGATGCACTGAAAGTGCATCAGTCAGTTCACACTACAGAAACACCTTACAAGTGTTCACACTGTGACAAGAGATTCAAACGGTCACAATATCTGAGAATACATGAGAGGGTCCACACTGGAGAGAAGCCGTATCACTGCCATTCATGTGGGAAGACTTTCACTCATTTTTCTTCTCTAATCGGTCATAAAAAAAAATGCATGTCTGAAATTAACACTAGTAGTTTGAGTTCTGGTTCTGTACTCTGAGGTGCGATGATGTGTAGGACTGCATCAAACAATTGTTGATAATTGATTAATCAAAGGTTGTTAGAACAATTAATCCACTGATTGTTGATTATTTCACAGATTAATAATTTGTTATTAATCATTTTATTATTATTATTCATTTGTCATTCTTCATGCTTTTATATTACTTGTTGTTTAATCTTATGGTTGTATGGTTTGTAAGAGATTAGAAAATGCCTTCGTTTCAAGGTTTTTAATGTCGCAGGAAAATGTTGTGAAGCAGTACTTTTCAATTGTTTTTGCTTTGGTATAATAACACTCGTCTTAACAAAATATGATTGGGAGACAAATGACAATATCAGAAAACAGCTGCAAGTGGACGCATTAAGTAACCAGCTGAGAGTGAACAGACAAAGATGGCACGGTCACATCTTGAGAAGAGATGACGAATACGTTGGAAAGAAAGTCAGAAAGATGCACTTTGGTACAAGAAAGAAAGGACGGCCAAAAAGGAGACTTGAAGAGTGTGTGAACGAGGACTAGAGTAGAGGATACAGCAAACAGGAGAAGTTGGAGACGAAGGATATGCACCGGCGACCCCACAGATATAGGGATTTAAGCCTGTCGATGAAGAAGATAATAACACTTGTCTTGTTGGATTTGTACTGGCCAGACTAAGTCTGAGCTTTTAGACATTGACATTTAGATGAAGTCTGAGCATTGACACATACGCAACTAAGATTATTAAATAAACCGTGGTCTTTGTATTATCATCACTTCATCTTCTGCTTCTGCTCTTACCTGTCTTTCTCAGTCAAACTTTTGAGGCTGATAGAAGACTGTTAACAGAGTTTTGGGTACCAGGCAAGACTTTCTGTTGACAGGTTTTACTGGTTTTGGACACCAGACAAAACAATATCCGATATCTTCTGACGGGGATTCGGGATCTGGGATCGGATCTAATATATGTGATATTTCAGATGTCTAGATCCATCTGATTTAACACTGCTTTGCTTAGAACTGAAACAGAAAAACATTTCCTCTCTTATAATGCATTATAGTGTTACGATAATCAAAACAGTGCTGAGCTAGATGAAGCTTTCTATTCAAACCAAACTACTTTTTTGCACTCATTAATAAAAAGACTTTACACTAGCTAGCTTTAAATGGAGCACACTCACTCAGTTTTCATCTCCTCTCATTCCACAACATTTCGGTACAGTTCTGTCTTCCATGTGTTACATGATCTGACAGTATTTGTGGTTTGTAGTAGAGATGCACTGATGCTGAATTTCTCTGCCGATACCGATAGTTTGATTTTCTTAAGGGGAAAAGAACTCTCCTAACTGATGCTGTTGACTACAAAGGGAACCCTATTGTTTGGTGCATTACTATAATATTAAAGGCTAAAATTAATAACAGAGCTATTATATTCAACTGCTATTTATTTTCAGATATCATAATTACACTCAAATAAAAATTGAAATGTCTGTTTACAACTCATTTACAACTAGCTTCATGCCAGATTTATTCAAACATATATAATTATATTAAATTATATATAGTGTCATCTGTAGTGTAGTTCTATAGATAATTAATGAACTGTGAACAGTGGATAACTTTGCTGAGGTAAGTGCCACGTAATACTGTTCACAATCTGTTTTATTGGCATCTTTCCATGGTTGAAACACTGATTGAGCGATTACATTAGACATGATACATTTTGGTAAGATATGCTGTATCTTTCAACATACCTTCTTATGTTCATGTTTATTTTGGGCTATAACTTGAGATGACCAATCAAATAAAAGAAGGCAGATTTTACTGTTCACATGAATTCAGATGCATTAAGGGTGAAAGAGTACAAAGTAAGATATAGGCTATAAGTAAATATTTAACAACTGACAGCTGCTTTAAGATTGAAATGATGAAGAAAACTATTATGAGTAGCAAGCTGATGTTATTCCAAACTCAGCCAAAATGAATATATTGCTGTTAAACAATAATTTAAAATAAATAAATATTTGCCCAAAATATGTATAAATGAACATAACTATTATGATGCAAAAATGTAAAACATTATTATGATACGTGTTGGGTCATTAAAGGGATAGTTTCCCTCAAAAAGTCATGTCATAATTTACTCACCTCCAAGTTGTTCAAATCTGTATAAATTACTTTATTCTGCTGAATATTTTCTGAATATTTTTTTTTTAAAGTTTTCTGTCTGTTTCTGGTCCCCAATGACTTCCGTAGTATTTTTTTCCACACTATGAAAGTCAATGGGGACAGCAACTGTTTGGTTATCCATATTCTTCTTGTTTAAAAAAGTTACTATTGACTATTTTTCATAGTGTCATTTTATTAATTGTATTAAAACCAGTTAGGCATGGCAAACTTGAATGGCAAACTTCATAATATTTACCAGATTAATAATAATAATAATAATAATAATAATACAACACTTGATTACACTGTGTTATGTGTGATATCAGGTTCCTGTAAAAAATGTAATAAATAAAAACTGTCACAAAGGGGTGGGGGGGAATCAAGAGTATATATATATATATATATACTCTTGATTTTTCCCCCTTTGTTACAGTTTTTATTATATAAATATAATAATATATAAATATAATATTTTTTATATATATATTAAAAGGGGAAGTTTTAAGGTTTATGTTGTGCAAGAATGATGAAAGGACAAACAGAACAATGCAGGCGTCATGCCCATATTTACACAAGCAGGCACAAATACTGATTGATGCAAACAAACTAAGATCTTCAGTGGAGCTGAACAAGCAGAGAGACAGTGTTTACAGTAATACTGTATCTTACCGTATTGTGTTCACAATGCACCCAGAATAGAGTTGTAGCCTTATGTACCTGCCAAAAGAAAAGAGTGTTCTTAAACATATTCTCAACTCTCAAACTCCACATTGCAATGTGCATTTTGAAATACCAGAAATTCTCTAACTACAGCATATGCTAAAACTCCAGTCAGCTTTCAATATTTCAATGTTTATGGCACTGTTTTGAACAATTAAGACTATTATATTAGTTGCAATAATAATTACATTCTTGTGTGTTTACAGTTCCCGCTGAACCAGAACATCATTTTAAAAACTGTAATTATGGCCAGCACTACAGAAAGTAGTATTAGTGGTATTAGAAAGAATGGTGTCTCTGTTCTGTAACAGAAATAGAAAACTGCACATTTTATTAGTTCTTGCTTTCCTTAGGAATCAAACCCATGACTTTGGCATTGCTAGTGCCGTGCTCAACTGTTTGAGTTATAGTAAAGTAATAATAATACAGTACTACAGTAATACTTACAGCACATAGAGATAAAAGAATTATGTCTTACGGTATTTGCAATCAATGCAGGCAAACAAATGATCAGTCCTGTCTTACAAAGTGCAACAGAGCAGCTTAAACAGACTCTATTACCACTACTGATGTACCTGCACATGTGTGACAGAGTTGAGTGATGTCCAGATGTTGAGTCTGATACCAAATCACAGGAAATGTTGCCAAAAATTCCCTCAAACTGAAGTTTTCATTCTAATTTAAGAACGCTCATTTAGATTACTGTGGCGCCTCCTGTTTTGCAAACCAGCCCTAAAGAAACCAGAGAAACTATACGATCTGTTGACATGTCAGCAAAGCGAAAGTAAAAGTCATCGACTATTTCACAAATAGCTAACAAAGCTTAGCATGCATATTATTAACATATTGGCTGTTTATACTTACAAAGCACTTATTCTGCATGACCATATTCTATCCCTAATCCTGCCCAATACTTAAACTTAACACCTACCTTACTAATTATTAATAAGCAGCAAATTAGGAGTTTATTGAGACAAAAGTCGTAGTTGATGTGAGAATTGGACCTTAAAAAAAAGTGTGACCTACATTTTTAATAAAAAATTGCTGGCTCCTTTGAGAGTGGATAAATTATGATTTTGGGGTTGATTATGTCTAACTCTATCTTGCTTGTGTTTATCCCAGTTTATAAGTCACAAACTTGAGAACCGTATTAGGTATATCGTTGTGTTTGATAGGCTATGGGAATTTGACACTTTGCAGGTGTAACTAATAATTTAAATATCAAAGTTGAGATTGTAAATGATGAAATGTGTAAATAGTATTAAAAAATGTCTTCATCCATGATCCTAGTCTAACTAAAGGGAATTGTCAGCCCTTTATATCAGGTAAAGCCAAAGAGGCAGTTAAAAGTGTATGCAAATGATGATAAAGTATACTGTAAACTGTGATTTATAACCAATCCTAAATCACATATCTGTGTGCTGTATAGGGCATGAAAAATACAAGGAAAACCAGGCTGGGTGTTTCAATGGAAAAAGTTTCATTTCATTTGTAATTAGAGTAATATAAACACTCATCACACCAGCAAACATTAAAAATACCTGCCAATTTCATGCTCACAAAACAGCTCTAATGTGAAGTATAGACTCCACAAAGCATGATCTAAAAAGAAAACGTAATTCATTAAACCAGGCAACCTCCTTCCATTGCTCCAGTTCTGACACTCTCATGGCCAAATGCAGCTGATTTTGACAGTGGACAGGGGTCATCATGGGCACTCAGACCAGTCTGCGGTTATGCAGCCCCATACACAGCAAACTGAGGTGCGCTGTGTGTTCTGACACCTTTCTATCATGGACAGCGTTAAGTTTTTTATCAGCTGTTTTGGAGATGCTCTGACCTAGACTTCATCACTATTTGGCCCTTGTCCAAGGCACTCAGATATTTGATAATCCTGATGCTGCTTTTCTGTACTGCACCAATCTGTACATTTAGGGTGACAAAACGTCTTAAAAACACATTTTTAGATCGGTATGCTTCAGTGGTCTAACATCTCTCGTCAATATCAAAATTATTGAGATGACCAATCGTATCAAAGGCAGGTTTTACTGTTCACAACCAGATCATGAATTCCAAATGCATTAAAGGTGAAAGAGTGAAACGTAAGATATAGGCTATAGCCAACAACATTTAACATCTGATAGCTTCTTTTTTCTCTTCTTTTCTATACTATGGAAGTCAATGGGGACCAGCAACTGTTTGGTCACACACATTCTTCAAAGCATCTTTTTTTGTTGTTGTGTCTTCAGCAGAAGAAATAAATTCATCCAGGTTTGGAACAACTTGAGGGTGAGTAAATGATCCCCAACCCCTTTTTTTGGTGAACTATCCCATTGAAGACTTATTTGTATCAGAGAAAATATAACTTAACTTGAACAGATGTGCTTTTTTTTTCTTGTGAGAAAAGAGAGGTCCTGCTCGTACTTGGATATAATACATTTAATAAATAACATCATTTGTTGTGCATGTTTGTTTTTACCTTATCATCCAACTGAACACAATGCTTCTAAAACCTCTCTAAAATGCATCTTGAGAGAGACTTTACAAGTAAATCTGTTGTCACTTCACGTAAATGTGTTTGAAAATTTGTGTTGGATATTCATAACAAGATACCACAGCATTTGAAATGAACAAATGTTCATAAGCATTGTTAAGTCTTATAAAAACATATAATGATACTTGTTATTGTCTATCCAAATAGTTATATTCATTCGCAGTGCATCTTACCTGAAGGTAGGGGGAAGAAAAACTTTCAATCAGAGTTCTGTATGATGGAAAATTGATCATGCCAGTGTTTAATTCAAATATAAGTAGGATAATTTAGTTTAATTAAAATATATTTAAATATTGATGTTGTGTCAAAGGCTATCCTACAAATATTATTAGTAAAACTCTTAAAGCAACATAAGTGTCCACAGTTAAGTTTATTTACTGAACAAACAACATTCAACATACAGGTTCTTGAGCCAAATCACCAGAACTACAATTGACGAACTGGCTCAAAATCACAGCAGGAAGTTCCCCAAGAACAGGGCCATGTAATAAAACACTGAAGATACAGAAACACTGATACGGCATATTATAAGCATAATTTTCAAATGTCCAAAATAAACTGAGCACACTGTGTGTCTTAACACTGTAATACAAATGAATTTGTTCTTTTCCAAGACAAGTCACAAGTCTAGACAGGATGGTGCTTGGTTTTGTTGGCAGCTGTGAACAGATGGATTAGCTCTTTCTCAAGTCTGAGCAGGATAAGTGATGACAGTGCCACAAGGAATGTTATGATAGTTCCTGACAAAATGTGGCTTTGTCCTGATATCTGTCTGTAATGGCCTCAGGTATGTGATTAAATTATTCAGTTAAAACAGATAAAACATTGACATCCAGTCAAAGAAAAAGGACCAAATGATGGTTATTATAGATATGTAAAAGCAAATTAAAATACATATCAGGGTCCAGCAACAAAAAGCTTAACACTTGCTATATACAACAATTACTCTATCAATGCTTCTCATACTTAATGCACATTAATTCAATGCAGTCACAAGCTTTTTCACAGTTTTTATCCAAATGGCATTAAAGTCATGATCATGCTATACCAAGTTTTGGTTATATAATTACTTTGTTCATGATCTTAAGAGTGCTGAGACACAGCATCATATGGAATAGCTGTATCAGAGATCTGTCGTACGTACATCTACTGCAGTCTGTTGGATTGTCAGATCATCATTTGAGTGCATCATGTTTTCAGCTCCATCAGATTGCTGTAAGAATATGGAGAAACAATCAAAAAAAGAAAAACACAAAGGAGCAGTGTTGATGAGAGCTACACACTGTGAAAACTAAAAGAGGTGGAAGGAATAATTGGAGAATAAAGTCAAATATAGAATAAGAGTAAAATGTTCATCTGCAAACATTACTTTGAGTTTTACTTTTAACTTCACGTTTCACAAAAGTGATGATCATTCTATAAAACAACATCTCCTTTCCTCACTCCAACCATTATCCAGTGAATCTACTCAGAGATTTTGGTCTTGATTCATTTACTTCATTAGTGAAAAAAGTCTAATTAAAGAGATCGCCAAGATGAAGTTCATAGTGTTCAGAACACCCCAGAAAGTATGCAATTTGAAATTAAGATGATATCAAGAAACTAAATAGTAAAAGTTTTCACACCATTCTTTTGGTAAGCAAGGTAATCATATCACCACTTAGTGGTGCACACTCAAAATTGCCATTCCACATATGGTCTCATATGTAATTGTCATGTTTTGCTGCAGGAGAGCAATTGCAAGTAAATGTCATTTGCAGGAATGTAATATGACTATTGTACAAAGTAACGATTATCTTCATTAACACTGTGAATGTGAGAAGCAGGCACAATGGCAATACAATCATTGATAGCTGGGTACAATATGAGAAACACGACTAAACATGCGTCATCATTTCCAAATTCCTCCATTTTCACAGTCCACACTATAAAGCTATAACAAATTCAAACTATAAAAATGTATGTGAATCTCAAATGGAGGCAAGAAGAAAAATCATTTTGAACTTGACATTATTTTACACCAAGAACAGTTTCAATACTAACCTCCTCATCTTGCTCGTTTTAAGTAGACACAGATCATCACACCTAGTGCAGTCATGACCAAAACCACTGAAATAAGTGTTATCAGCAGTACAGTACGTGAACGTTGGTAGAGTTCTGTAAGGGACAAAGACAATTTTGAAATTAACATATCTGGGTCCAAGTGTAAACCACAGGTGTTATGTAATAGTCACAGAAAAGACAGTACGTGGAAATGTATTTAAATATGTTGATATCTGTATATGTAAGTTCGTTGTATCTGAAATGTGATGTTCATGCTTTTTAATGACTTTTATTTATAATCATTACAATGTAAGTGAAGGCAATTCACACAAAATTAAACACATCACCAGTAAAAAGAGAGTGTAAAATCACAGCTGACGCACCTGCACATGTGTGACAGAGTTGACTAATGTCCAAAAGTTTGGTTTGGTTGCTGATGGGATTGTTGAGCACACAGCTGTAGGTGTTTTTATCCTGATATTCCACCTCCAGAGGTAGAGAGAGACTGATGCTGAGATCAGACACACTGATGCTGGACAATAAACTGTTTCCTTTGTACCAGGAGAGAGTCACATGACTCACATTCACCACTGAACACACCAGTGAACAATTCTGGTTTGATGAAGAACATTGTGAAGAGATATTGGTGATGACAGGAACAGGTAAAGAACCTGAAAAACAAATACATAGCTATATTAAAAAAAAAACTACAACAATAATTCAGATGGCCGCTGTCTGATTTATAACTTGCTTACCGTAGACAGTAGCACCAAAACATTTGAATGCTTCCAAGTCTCCGCTTCTGGTCTTTCTAAATTCGTAATGTCCAGTGTCTTTTGTGCTGCTATTCCTGATTTTGAGAGTTCCAGTCTGACGATCAAGCTTAAATCTCTCTCTGAATCTCTCATCATCACATGTTATCGTTTTCTCATCACTGATTTTAGCTATACATAGATTTTCATTTTCAAACCTCCACTGTATCACATCATCTACCTGTAGTTTAGTAGGATCAGAGTAAAAAGTCACAGAATCTCCCTCCATCACTGAAACTCTCACTGTAAATCTCGGACCTGCAGAACACAATTCCAGTCGAACCTGTTATGACACTTTTGTGCAAGTCCTTTACTTTATTGGAACGCTTTGTTAATGTTCAGTTGTGAAGTCACTCTACTCACATGTTCCGGGTAAGATTTGTGGAGATTCCACCAGGGTCAAGATGATAATACTATAACCTACAATGTTCAAAAGACAGTGTTTAATTCGACACCACTGGAGAGCAATTCTACAGTGAACGATTACAACATCGTTAGGTTTAATTACTAAATCTTATCACGAGTTGTAAAGTATTGTAAAGTCAAAACAAAAACATAGCACTCACCTTGCACACGCAAAATGAACAAAGCACGAGAGAAAAACATATTCTGCATCAACAAGTGTCTTCAAAAATCATATTTAATCACAAGAGTCCCCAGCGGAAAAGGTGAAGAGATCCAGCTACGCGCCCATCTAAATCACGTGACACGCCTCGTTGCTTGAATTTGCTTCGAAAACTCCACGGAAGTGTCAGAACAGGGCTGCGTTCAGCCCCGACAAAACGGTGCAATATGTTGTTTAAGCGGAAACGGCGGTGCGTTGAACACCCTGTTCTGATTACGCAAGAGTTGCAAATATGGCAGCTGAGAAGGCCATTCTTTGTGCTCTTTTTGAAGAATTTTCGGAGCCTGATGAAATCGGTATAAATACATGTTTAATACTGCAAAATACGCTCGATGTTACAGTCACTGCCCT